CTCCACAGAAGGGGCAGGATCCAGAGACTCCACAGAGACCCGTCTGATACACCATACACAGGGAGGGTGCAGCTTACAGGCATTGGGTCACACACACAGGTTTTGTACAGCCAGGTGAGGTGCTGAACCTAGTGAAGTATAGTTCCTGGGCCCCACTGTGGGCATATAAAAATGCTGAGGTCAGTCATTCTTGAGGTCTTCATAGCTAATTGGAGGAGACACGTGGACCCATATTTGCCCTCCAGCAGCCAGGCACAGTTCTCCCCAGACAGACATAGCTGGACTCAAAGAAATGGAGCTGTTAACTGAAGTTCCCATTGCAGCAACTGCTCATTCTGAACCCTGTTATGCACCCTGTGTGCAAACCCCGTCCTGTGTGCCTGAGTGTCCCATAGCTGTGGGAATCCAGCTATGGAATTTGTGGAGGACTTGGCCCGCTAATGAGTAAGAAAGAAGTACACTCAGTACTGAAAGATAAGCCACACCAAAACGAACTCAGTTGAGCAAGGCTGGAAAGTAGGAGGTATGTTTTGCTGAGGCTTCCTGTATAGGAAGTGTAATCTGTATGGCCAAAATTTATTCTGTATGCCCTCCCCCACACCATACTTGAGCAAGGAACAAAAAGAGATTTTTTTGTCATTGCAAACCTAGAAAGTCCTAGTCCTCCTAATACATCTAGCCTAAGAAACAAAAGGTGAAAATGCCCTGAGCACCATGGGGAACAACATGGCCTCAAGATTCCCTGTGCTTGTCCCAGTTCTTCACTTCAAGGTGCACATGGGAGGCCATACGAGATCCTTCGGGAAGCTATCCCTGCCATGTGCTGAAGTGAGGTGTCTCCCTGTGGAAGCATCCCCCTCCCCCCGCTCTGTCTTGCCCACTGTGACCAACACGCACGTTCTGGTGTTTTAGGGGACAACTACTGGGTGATTGACACCGACTACGATAACTACGCCATCACCTACGCCTGCCGCAGCCTGAAGGAGGACGGCTCCTGTGACGATGGCTACTCCCTGATCTTCTCTCGCAACCCCCGCGGCCTCCCCCCGGCCATCCAGCGCATTGTGCGCCAGAAGCAGGAAGAAATCTGCATGTCTGGCCAGTTCCAGCCCGTGCTGCAGTCAGGTACTGTGGGCTAATTAGCAAACTTGCCACCGAGTCGTAGAGTAGGTGATTGCATTTGCTGTTAATGTGACAGAACCACAGCAAACTAAGGCGTACTCGTTAAGCAACCCCTTTTTTAATGTTAGATCTGGTAAGAAATAGCTACAAAGGGAAGTCTGTGCAAGGGCAAGAGCCTGTTGCAGGCTGGTTCTGCAGCTTTAAGACTGCCCTCACAGGAACCCTGTGTGCTGAAACTGGCACACTACCAAAAGATCAGCTTTGTTACTCTATTAGATAGCACAGGGATGGATGTAACAACCCTGTGCTTCAGCACTTGGAAATGCTGGTCTTGACCACTTGGATAACAGTGTCCTCCAGGAAAGGAGGAGAAGGCACCCCCAGGAAGGAGCACCCTCACTCTTCTTAGCTCCATCACGATTTGTGTCCTGGGTGGTCTCAACAACAGGGATGAGAGGTTCTGGTTGTTTCTGACTGTGCCTGCTGGCAGTGGGAGTCAGCAGCTGTGCCACAGACATGCAAACAGATCATGTCCAAAGCTCATTTTGAGAACGTTTTTCTGAAGGTATGGGAGCTGATCTAGTTCAAATGCTGCCCATGAGACAGGTAGATAATTTTTTAGGGCTGTGCTGGAGCAGAAACTCCTCTTTGTTGGCAGCTGAGTGCCCACCCTTCAAATACCCACTGCCTTGCCTGGAGGTTGGCCAGGCCCAATGCCACAGTAGCACACGTGTGGGACAAGGCACACACTGTGGGACAAGGAAGAGCAGCTAAAACCTTCTGAACGGCAAGTCCTTGTGCCAGCCAGTCCTCCACCGCAGAGCAGGTGCTGGCATCACCCAAGGTTGTGGGCGTGGGATGGGCATCCCTGCCCCACACCCCCTCGTAATGCTCTCTGTAGCAGAGGGAAGGTAGCTGGTTTGCATGGCTAGGTGCTCAGGAAAGCTGAAAGCCCATGTCTAGCTGGGAAAGGCTGCCAAGTGCTATGTCAATAGACACAGAGCAGTGCAAACAGCAGCTTTTGCACCCCCCCATCCTAACCTCGTACTGTGATTCAGAAGTACTCTAGGAAGGCTGTAGCTACAGCTTCACTGAAGACTAAAAGGCTGTTAAAGCACTTTGCAAGCTTACTTAAAAAGACTAAAGTTTACTTTTCTTTCTTTCCAGGGGCCTGCTAAAAGTACACTTCTGATCCTATCCTTAAGCTCAGAAACCAGACCTCTTGGTCTTGAAGTTGTCACTCAGCTAATAAAAAAATAAAATCATAGGACTAGTGTGTTTTTCCTGAAAAACACATGAAAATATTGGGGGATCTGTAAACTGTGTGCAATACAATATTACCTAATGTGGCATTAATCAATAAATGTTTTTAAAAAAACCCAAACAAAACACTTCTGGGACTGTTTTTTACTTGCTGTCCTGTTGGGGCCAGATGGAGCGAGGTTGTGGGTAGAGGTCCCAGGTGAGGCTGCACAAAGCAGCAAAAGCTTGTGGGTGCCTGCAGGGCCCTGGCATATACAACGTACCTCTTCCACCACTTCCATTTAAATTCTGAAGCTAAGAAACCCTCTGGAATACAACTCTGAGATGAGGCTGACAGTGTGATCCTTGCTGCCTGGTAATATCTTACAGTCACTTCCGGTACATCTGAATACTCAAAAATCCACATAGAATATTTCTAACTAGACCCTGGACCACAAATGCAATAAAGCAGATGTTCTTTTCAATAACACTGGACATTACTTTTAAATGAGCAGTTATTTGCATTTCCAATGGCATAAACAGTAATTTACTCCCCTCTGCCTTTATCATCCAGCTTTCAGTATCTGAGAGGTACAGATCTGAAAGACATAGAACAGACAGATTTTTTGGCTGAGAATTTAACAGACAGAAGAAACCAAAAGAGCAGTGTCTAGAAAACTCCATGTAGAAAAAGGGTAACCTGAGTCACTGTAACTAACATGTACTTCACTGCTTCTAGTAAAATCACGTTCACTTCTAATATTTCCTATTAATAAAGCTACCAGCCTAGAATGTCTCCAGCAACGTGGTGATACCTGCAGTTTGTCAACAACAGAAATTTTTATAAGCTATGTTTACCAAGCATAGAGGTAAGATTAAGCTGAACAGCCCCTACCCCTGAAGCTTTCAAAAGGTGTGTGGCAGAAGGCTGATGTTGAGTGAAGACCTTCAGAGCATACACTATCAAACAGTTTCTGCAAGATGCTTGAACAATCTTGTCTACAGCAGCTGATGATTATCTTCTGCATCTGTTGGAAGGAACACAGAAACCAAAGACTCTTCTCCAAAACCAGAGACATTATTCCAGGGCTGCAGGCAAGTCTCTCAAGCTTGTCTCTCCCAGGATTTCCAGGCAGTACTCATAAGGCTCTCAACCAGCTTCAAATAAAGGTGTTCCTTGCTCTTCAGATCTCAGAAAAACTACCTTGACAGGGAACAAGATGGTGAACTACCATCTAAAGCTAAGGACAGAAACAGAGGAGCAGTAGCAGGCAATGCTAAAACCCCACATACAAAGAGACTAAGAGTGTTGAGAAAACATCAGCCTTTTCTGCTGGACGAAGTGCAAGGTCAGTGCATCGACTGAATGTTCACCACTTGCACTCCTCTCCCATGAGGAAGTATTGGGGTGGAATGCATGAACTTAGGACTTGTATCACAACTGATTAGACAGCACTAACCCTTAGCTGAAGGAGCCTGGCCTTTGGACAGAACATTCAGACAAATACTACCAGTCCTAGAGAAGTGGGATTTTTAATATCTATGGTTGTAGTAACTGTATGACCAGAGCAGCTAGGAGTTCTAGCAATAACAGATGACTTATATGCAGGACCAAGTGCTTATTGTGCTTAGTGTAGTCTGTCCAAATGAGTCAGGCAGTGAAATCCCCCCTCAGGCACATAAGGTTCTGCCTCCAGATTCATAGGAACATAGTGGTGATTCTGGATGAATACACTACAGATTTATACACACCCAAGGAATGTGACTTGTACTTGGGGAAACATATTCCCATCAGGACCACAAGCAGGCCCTCATCGTGTGATCTGGTGAGTTAACAACAGATGGGCATTACCTCACATCCATTTCTCTCCAACAACTGCAGGAAATGTGAAAAGACGAGGTAGGGTAGGGCAGGCAGCCAAAAGTGTATTCTGATAAGATTTACACTTCTCTTGAAATTCCATCAAGTTCAACATGAAACATCTGGGGTGTATCTAGATGCAGGCAGTCTTCTGTCTGCTGTTTGAGCTGGCTGATGAAAAACAGCCTGCTATTTCTGTTATTTAAGTGTGTGTAGGTCCCAAGTCATAATCTTTGTCCTGCACAAACTTTCCACTAACAAGAGAAGAGAAAAAAATTGTTAACGAATTAAAAGGACTGTTGTTTTGTCCTCAGAAGGTCCTTCAGTGCTGCAGAAAATCTATGACTGCGCAACAGCAGGAGGGACCCTGCAAGGATATTGTCCTTCACACACCAGTGAGCCTCCTCCCAGCAAGGACACTGCGAGTCCTGAGATCTGACACTATGATACCCTGTTGAGTTCGACCAGTTTCCCCTGGGCTGTGGTATCTGAGGCAATTACATGCACTTAGGTTTCTACTTAAGCCTTGAAATTTTTTATGGTAAGGTTCTTTTCACGCTTCATTTTTATGTCATGTTGCAACATGCACCAGTGAAGGTATCCTTTATACCTTGTGCTGGTAGAGGCAGCGAGCTGCTGTGTGGTACTTGGTTGCTGGTTGGGGTAAAACCATGACGATCCTTGAGAACAGTCTTTAATTCCCAAGATTTAGTTTTTGACACAAGAGTTTTAAGCAGTTTCTACAACACAACGATCAGATCCTGTTTTTACAGGGTTCATGTGAAAGATTAAAAACTGGTTTTATTGGGTAGCATAAAACATGGTAACAAATGCAGCATATACACAATCAGACAAAATAAAACACTCAGCTGAAAGATTCTTTCAGTTGCAAAATTGTTATATGGTTGCAAAATTGTTATATCCCCTCAGAAGGTTTTGTTTGAAGTGCAGGTAAATAATCCTATCTTGCAGATGCAGTTAGATTTTCTTACTTGGATTTATGGCCAGCAAGAGATACACCTGACTGCTCTGCAATCTTGCTTTGGTTCTGATACTACAGAGCTACTAAGCACCTGTTACTCAAACTGTGATGGGAGGCTGATCACTGCCTGGTAACAGGGGAGATTAGTTAAACATGCAATTTTGAAAGCAATATCAGACAGAGTCAGCAACAGAGCGTTACAGAAATCTCAAGTTTCAAGTATTAAACAATGTTTTTCTGCAGACGTTAAATTAGAGAAAAGACAAGGGCATTCCGAAACTTCTACACTTTGTTTGAAATACATTCAAGCCTGTAAATATCAAATTATCTTCTCTCTGTAATTGTTTATACACACTTATTCCTTAAAGGAATAAGTTCATACCATAGCAGCAAAGAAGATTTTTAGAAGAAATCTTCTATTTTTCATGGTTTGCACTTACATATATTTTCTTCTATATCCCTGAATAATAAAATCAATACTCTTCAAAACAGCTATGTTTCTTTTTTTTTTCCAAACAGCTGTAGCTGGTGCATTGTCCTTAGCTTGATAAAGACTGCTATATTCTGATTGCCAGTGTGGGAAAATTTTAAACCAGAAGGCTACTCAGGTAGGACATTCTAAAAGGGTCAGCTGTCCTCTCAAGCACTTGTATCTTTTCCTGCTTCAGACACACTAAAATCTCTCAAATTCCTATACTTAAATTTTCTCTAAATAATTTGTTGTTGTTGTTCCATCTCATACTAGCAAAACAATATGTCTTAACTGCTAGATTTTATTTAAATGTGTATTCTGATTCTTCACTTAGGGACAGCTATAACAACTTGAAAACGCATTTTTACTATCTCCATCCAAGTAGAACTTACCAGTAACTTTTCCAAAACTGAGAAGGTTATCCCTTCAGTAGGCTCCATGGCCCTTTTCTGTTCTGCCTTATGGACAAGGAGTTGGAAGATTAGAATGTGACATGTGACCCTTATTCAAGCTTTAGTGAAGCAAGAAATATTTCACCTCAATTCTGTGACAAAATTAATCTTTTAAGGCTAATTTTCGGTGTAAGCATATGAACAAGTAATCAGAAGGTAAGGAGATACAAGGCCACACCTCAGCGTGTACTGGCTTTTTGTATACGCTTCTTTTCTGTGCTGTAAAAGTGAGGGCATTTGAGGTAATTCAGCTCTCTCCTACTGTGCAAACTTGTTGGTTTTGGTTTTGGTTTTGTTTTTTTGTTTTTTTTTCTCTGAGACCTCAATGTTCCACACAGTCTTTGTTGTTATGTTGGTGAGGTGACTGATGTCAGCAAAGAAAGCAGTAGGGGATTTGTTTGTGTGACAAAGTCAGTCCCCTTATGGAAAACACTCCAGCTGTTTTCTCTGGCATTATCCTTCTTTCTACAAGTGTTTTAGAGGCATAGCTCAAACTGTGCCAATTGTGAAAAGGGGAGAGTAAAAAAACACCCCTGTAATTTCAGGGAACTTTGCTGTTTACATAAAGTGTTTGGCAGCTGCAAGCACAGCCAGTAGTGTTCTGTAGCCCATGATCTAGGGCTATCTCACACTTGTGCACATGCCTTGCAAAGCACAGAAGCTCAGACTGTTCTTGGTCAATTTCCTAGGTGTTGTGAGTAGCAGCCCTGCTACATTCAAGAGTGTGCTCTCCTGTAATACGAAAACACAAAAGGTTCTAACTGGTGTTTTAGCTTTCTCCTGATTATCCAAAACCGAGTGGTGACTTACAGTCTGAGAGGCAAGGCGTGCTGGGGGGAGACCTCACCTCTAAGGGCTGTAGGATGCCAAGAGAGGTGACAGTAATGGTGACAGCAATGGAAAGGAAGAGGGACTTTCAGGGTTAGAGCCTCCACCACAAAGAGGCAGTGGCTCATGGCCATGGTGCAAGCAGGTGACTTGGGCAAAAAGAGAAAACAGAAAAGGCGGGGAAGTTTGGAGCCTAGGGCTCTCTGTTTAGTCTTCCTCTCTGAGGAGGAGCTGCTACCCCTTCCTCTGCCTATGGGAAATAGTTGTGGCATGCCAGGAACAGTCACAAATGCTGAGAGAGCTGGGTGGAAACCCCTCTGTGAGAGAGTGAAAAACCTCATACACCTGAAGACATGGCAACTGATCTGAAATAACCTGCTGTGACTAACCAGCAGGGAAGAAGGGATGCTTCACCTCATGCTTTGGATGTGTTTGGTTGCTGGGCACTTTTCCATCAAACCGTTATGTCAAGACAGCCTGGTAGCTAAGGCAGGCAGTTTACTCTCAATCAGGTCTCTGCTGCCATCCTCACTCACACAATGAAGCAATGGACCTGTTCCTGACGCAGTTTGTGACCTCTATAAATCTTTGCTTGTCCTGGCCATTAGCTCAGCGTAAAATAGGGAATAATAAATATTTATTCCCGTAATTTCTAGTTAGCAAGCTGAATCCCAGTCCTATGGCAGCCTCTGACCAGTTGAGTTGTCAGTTGTGGCTGTTTGATAATGCTGTCTTTAGCGCTATGAAGAGTTAATAGGGGCAGTTGCTCCTAACTTGCATTCCTAACTTGCTTCATCCTTTCCATACTCCCTCCTCAGCCTGGGAGGAGTTTATTTTTCTGGGGGCTTGTCATTTGCAGGGAACATACACCAGTCTGACACCAAGCCAGGCACCACTCTTCAGGGTCACTTGAAAGCTTCAACATACTCCACGGGAAGAGAGGACGGGCCTGCCTTCCCCCAGTAGTCAATGGCACGCACTCTGTAAAAGCCGGAGACTGAGCTTCCTGCAAATGAAAAGGTTAGAAATGTCACTGTGAAACGCTGACACCTGTGGCACCTGGAGGATGTGAAGCAGGCGCTACTCCTGTAAAATGCAGGTTTGTGGAATGGGCTGGGGAAATCAGTTCTGCGCCGTATGTAAATGTGTCTGTGCGTGTCTAACTAAAAACAATTACAAATTCCCCATGGCCAAGTACTAGCGTTTTTGCCTTCTTGCACCAAGGACCTCCTCCCTCCTCATTAGGATTTGCAAGTACATCTACAGGACTGCTTTACCAGCAGTCCCTCTGGAAGAAAACTATGACATCTTCTGCAACACACAACTAGTAATTTCCTTCTTTTTTCTGACTTAACTTTTCTGCCTGAATTGTGCCTTTCAAACAGTTATGTGGGGACAGGATCAACAAAGAAGCAGAACAAGAAGCACACAGGCTGACTGAAAACCCCTGTGCTCAACCCAGGAAGCAGCACCACTTACTTTAAAGGCAGGTAAGTTGATGTTCTGTGGTTCTGCTGATTTTCATCCTTGATCCAGTTCAAAGAACTGCTTTCCGTAGCAGACTCTTTGACCCCACAAGCAATATAAATTTGGTGGGTTTTTATCTATTTACTTGATTTTTATGTGTGCTTTAGTATTTTTTTTCTTTAAGAAAAAGGATGCTAGAAATAATGGGCGAGGAGGAAGTACCTAGCAATAAAGGTTGCTGAGACATGAGATTTTTTTGAGTAGTCTTTTTTTTGTATTTGTTGTTTTTGAAACAAACAAATAAAACTGGTATTTAATATTGTAATATAATATAATGATGAATACTAATTTCAGAGATCTGCCTTAGCCCTGATTTAGTTTTTGTTTACCTATGTAGCCTTTATATTGCAATAATAGCCATGAACTTTATTATGCACCCCCTGCTCATGTTAAGATTTTCTCGGGTTAAGATGAGCTAGTGTTTCTGCCAAAACCATCTCTGAATTGCTCTTTATTAGTATCACTGTGAGGAGAGGTCTGTTTGTGATTCACAGAGCTCTCATCAGTATTTATTATCAATACCTGTTAGACAGTCATGCTGCAGACTAGATCACATCCGGTTAAACAAAAAAAAAACAAACCACAAACCCAAAAAATACCCAAATAAAACAACACTATCTTCTTTCACTTGGGTGTTTCATCTGGATAGGCTTCTATTGCATGCTGGCTGTACTTGAGGAGAAATGACCACATGTTCTGGGAGCTTTGCCTTGTTGACAAAGATGAAACTCACCACCCTCTAAAGTGAAATATTTACAAATTAAGCAGCTAGTCAGGGCTAAGAAGAAAGCCCTAGGAAACAGCAAAGAGAGGTGTCACTCGTCTCCATGTTCAGATAGGCAGGACAAACTTTCTTATGAGATGACCTCTTCTGTCCTTACAGTGGAGCATCTCAATAGCTTAAGATTGCCAAGCCATAAAAGGAATGTGCGACCCTCCCCTGGGGTGGATCAGAACATGGTAAATGAAAGACAACCAACCCCTCTACGGAAAGATGGGCAAGACCTCTCACTTATTTGTGTGCTGATGCTATCCCCTTAGGCAGTTTAACACCTCCAGACTCAGCAGTACACAACAAGTGTTACCAAGGCAGTTTGCTCTACTGCCCTACTCTAAGAGCACTGTACAGATTTTGGCAAAGGCATGGTCAGTACATGCAGGACTGAACCTCAGACTTGCCTTGCTGTGAGTCTTACTCTCAAAAGCACAACATCAAGCTCTGGTCATGTGAGTCATTTTTTTTTTTGGTCATTTTTGCATGTTTCTACACCAGCTACAAAAGGGTTGCCTAGCTTCTCAGGGACCTTCCCAGGCCTGCAGCTGGGTGTCTTTGGCTTCTGTGACAAGGAATTTATCCAGGGCAATACTACTAATAATGTCCTCATGACTATTTGTCAATCAGTGTTTGTCCTTGAGAATAAGGCTCTCACTGAGAATGTGGTCCTAAACGCAGAGATGTGCTCTTATTTGTGTTGGGAGTGTATGTTACCAGAAAGTTATGTACCTTCAATAGTTACTAAACAATGTTTCACACACATGAGTGGCAATATCAACATGACAGTTTACTTAATATGCATATTCTTGCCATACCTGGACTGTAGACCCAGAGAGTGAATATTGTGTCTTTGGCATTAATCCGCTGGTATGCTTTTCCATCTGATGAGAATTCCACTTCAAACGTCTTTATACACCTAAAAAAAGAAAGACAGCTCAGCAAATATAACTGACAATGTGTTGAGCAATCAAATACCAGTCTTGGGGCCATTTCAACAAGAAGGCCAAAACCAGGAAATAGTCAGTTGACTCAGTCCTACCAAATGTAGGACAGCGTGCATTGTCAGTATAACAAATAACCAGGGCCCCAACAGCCCACAGAACAGCCAGGCTGATTCGCCACACTGCATATATGCAGCATCACAAAATATTAAGCATCTTTTACTCTCAAACTTGGGTTATCAAGGCTGAAGAGTCATGGGAGACCGGCTTGAAAAAGAACTAAGTCAGTGCTTTGTGAAGTGTAGTCATACACTGGATCACCTCTGGCAGTTCACCTACAGAGAGTTTCCAGTCCAGTCCAGCTTGCTGAAGCAAGGAACTGCAGGGTTTGTCTTCCTGTTCACATCCCTTACAGAGATGTGCAAGATCCCACCTAGGCATCTGGTGATAATATAACTTTCACCATGGATCTTCCTGCCTGCTATGCTGAAGGCAAGTCCCTCAGAAATGCCATTGAATGCTGGTGAGAAACAAGCAGATTCCTTTGGTCAGGCAGCAAACCAGTCAGGGTTGCTCTCCACAGTTAGTGCATGCAGGTCCTACAGTTCATTTTGTCAGACAAATGCACTGCAACATCTCTCAAGGAACAATTATTCATTAATTTTTGAACCTGTTTCACTCTGTAAGACTGGTGACAACTTAGGTAGTAGTGCATTGGTAACTCAGTTGTAACCATTTTATTTTAAAAGATACTTACTTTGAATTTACATGATCATCGTCCCACAGCACAGTGACCTGCCCCTTTGTGAGAGGGATCAAACGAACACCAGTCACCTGTCAAAACACAGATGCTTATGTAAGAAAACTGGACAAACCAATCAGCCACATCAGGTTTCTGTGTTCATCCTTCCTTACTAACTATTTGCTTCGACTTTTTTCCATTGAGACCAGGTGAAAAAACAAAATTCCTGGCTCTGTGGTTTTGTAGCCTATGTCTCCCACCCGTCAGCCTTGCAGAGGATCTTCAGAGGCTCTGGGCACCCTATTGAACTGAATGAGCAGATACAGATGTCTAATATATGACAGCCACAATTCCATTTTATCTTTAGTTATCAATTATTAACTGGAGAGCTGTTGTCAAGCCTTGTGGCATATCATGAGATTTTAAAAAAGATACTGCAGGTTTTAGTACTGCATTATTATTTTCCAACAATGGATAAACTTCCATTTATCTCAGTGATGGCTCCTACCACTTGCTCTGTAACGCTTTATCTTGAATTATATCTTGGAGAACCTTCTCATCAAAGGAAAGAACTGTCTTTTAATGAATAGTTGATCCAAATGTTAGTCTGGCTCTCCTTAGTAAGATTTAAAGCAGGAAGCAGTTTCTCTTTTGGTGAGTCTGACAGTAGAATACATACTTGACCCGGAGCAGATCTGGGTCTTGCACAGATGTGGACAAGAAAGACTGAGGGAATGGGAAAGTCTTGTTTCAGTGTCAAGATGCCACCTTCAGGAAGTGGGAATGGGCCTGCTGTCAGTGGGTCCTGTGGAGACAAAAGTAGTATTGTGAACAATCTTTCATTACAGCACCCAAAGGCCAACTGTAAAATCAGCGTAAAGTGCCTGTGTATTTACTTTGGGATTCTAAATTTCCAACAGAGTTGGTGTTGCTAAGTGCCTTAGAGCCATCAAAGTTCTTCAAGCTGGGAGACTTTTCTAACACACTTGTTTTCCAGCTCTTCAGGAAACACGAGGGTTTGTCCATTTCACAATCTGGGTTGATTGGAAAATATCCTTCAGGCACATTCTGTCACTTTTAGTAGCCTTTTAGGCTACAGGTCTTTACGAACCATGCCCCTGTCTCTTCACAGTGTGCAGAGCAAACTGTTGCTAGCTACAACAGCCACATAGCTGGTCCCTGAGGATGAGGCTTCACCAGATGGATAAGGGCATCTAAAACCTCGCTGCTGCCCTTTTAAAGGAAGAGCTGATGGCTCCTACAGTATCCAGCAGGCCTTAGTGCTAGTCATCTATGGTGACTGGGAAGAGAATACATAGTACTGCATACTCAAGTCAGAAGGCAACTACTCTCTCTGGGCCCTGAAGGGCATGAATGTAGCCTCCTTTATTTTAACCTGTCTGTTTGAATGCATAGGGAAACTATCAGAGAGGGGGCTGACGCGACATATTCTCACACACAGTAAGTAATTTCCACATGGCTTTTATCCACAGGGAGGAGAGGAGTTCTCAGAGAGGACTTACTCCTTAAATTACCTCTGCAGTGCATTCAGCACTACTGAGGATTAGGGGAAACTGCAGCCCTCCCTGTGAGCCCCTGGAGTCTTCTGAACTTGCACAGGGAGCTGTTTTCTTTTCTATTATTGAGGGGGTTCATTTCAACTCTCTAATGCAGCAGTTTGGCCCTTCTGTAACATACACAGGGCCATGTGACTTACTTGGGGAGGCAAAACAGAAAGGGCCTCAAAGCTCACTGAAGCAGAGAGAAAGTGGAACTTCCGCAGGAGCCACTATGCCTCTTGAGTTTATGGGTAGGCCAGTAGCAAAGAAGTTGGTCATCTACATCTAATCTCTTGTATAACATAAACACAACGGTATCAGCTACATTTCTCTGAATGACTGCAAGTGCATTTTTGTGTGTATGTGAAAAGTACATGACTGTGGCCTAAGGAAATTTTGACAACCTGGCCTGATTTCTTGTCTTTTTCACAAACACTTTACCTGTACAACACTTCAAGCAAATACATATAGTCATACCTCAGCATCCCTTATTTGCTGGAACTGTTCTGGAGAAGGAAAGTCAGGGCTTCCTAGGTTTTTCCACTTCAGGTAGGGATTGGTTTGGTTGTTATCCAGGTAATACGTCACATACACCAGCTCTTTAGGAACACAAATGAAAGAAAGCAAACTCTTTACTTGGATTTAAAGATTAACAAGAATAAATTCAGCAGAAGAAGTGTCAGTCTACCTTCTCAAAAGTGATTTCAGCACACTGGAGCCTGGCTTTCACTGGAAGTCCCATGGCTAGCACCCTTATAAGGCTCTACAGTTTACATTTGCTAAGTTTACGTTTCAAGCAATTCCTTCCACAATCTGAATTGAAATCCTCTTTTGGCACAGGTGCGGCACATACTCACTGGGCAACTTCATCAGCTGTGTAATCATATCATCATGTTGGCTGTCTTGGAGTCATCTCATTAAGGAAACTGTTGCCTGGCATTATCCAGACAAGGACACTGAGATTAACAGCTTTCCAAAAAGGCAGCACTTGGCAGCTGCCATTAAAGGCAGGGTCAAAGTGTAGGCATTAGGAAAGAACCTTTCCTAGAAGAAAACCATGATACCTCAGAAAATCCAGGAGTGCCCAAAAGATTAAAAAGTTAGCAAAAGAAACTCACTCTTGCAACAAAAGGCAACTAAGCAGAAGTGTTTCAGCAGATATTATATCCTAAAGACCAATTATGTGAGCGGCCTACATGATATTTGTTTACCTCTAAGACTGGGGAAGTGGGTGGCATTCACTGTGACGGTGCTGATGTTGGTTGAAGTCTTGTTATCCTCACTTAAATACATCAGTAGGGTAGCTTGCCAGCTGTCTGAGGGTTGCATCTCACTCGGTGTGTGCACAGACACCAGCACGTCAATTGTGCTGCTTTGAGTGCTTTCAACCCCATTGCTCTTCACTTCCGCAAAAATCTGCTTTTCTCCTTTAAAAGATGTGACAACTCTGTAAGCACCACTGTTACTAAGTCCTGTATCAGATTCTGATATAGGAAGGGTCAAAGCACACAGATCTGTAAGCTGAGCTAAGTTGTACCTTATTTTACCAGTTACAGGATTCAGTCAGGTTTATTTTTCAACAGCAGAGCATGCACATACTACAGCAGTTCTTAGGCTTAGCAGTTCAGCAAGCAACATGTAAAGATGTGACAGGGAATAGGTTCTTCCCTTAGTATGCTGAATGAGTCTTCCAGCTGTGGGGATTTCTTAAAGTCATTTGCAGCCTGATGGGAAGTATCCCTTGCATTACAAGAGGGAAGTGCTAGTCAATAAAAAAGGAGTGGCTGGCACACAGCGAGTACAAACAAAGCAGCAAGTTAAATCAAATGGATAATGGACCATCCGGAATATTTTCTGAGCTATTAATTTCTCTGAGGAAATTGAGTTTCGTTTTCTTAACGCAGCTGGTAAACAAAGGGTGGGAGAAATCCTGCTTTTATGAATGGTGAGATAGCTGAAACAATCCCTCTTAGGCAGGAAGCTTCTAGGTAGGATGTGCTCTTTAATCAGTGGTTACCATACCTAGCAGTGCCAGCAAGCCCATGACAGTCAGCACCGGTTTCCGCACCATCTGGACATGAGGTGGCTTTGTGTTGTTCATCTGAAAACGTGCTGTCAGAGTCCGCTGTGTGAAGTAATGGGGGTAGTAGCTCAAGAAGGCATTGTCATTACTCAGCAATGTGTAGTTGATGGTGTTGTTGGCTTTAGAAATGAGCAGGTTTTGGTGCTGGATGATGACCTGCAAAGTCAGAGAGAAAATGGACCTTCACCCCAGAGAAAATCCAACACACAGTGCCTGTATTTTTTTTTAATCTTTACAGTGTACTGAAAAGAACTGCCTTTTAGAAAAGTTTGAAGAACAAAACTGCTTATCACAACTCTTGGAGAAACTATACTTTAGGTGATACATTAATCACTGCAAAATCTGAAGTGTCTATATAGTTTTGCCTGTAATAAGTCTCTGAAATAATTATTACTGGTACACTGCATCAATAACTAATACATTTCCTTGTCTACTGCAGTACAAGTGATGCTCCTCTGTCTTGAATAATTAATTAGGAATCTGGATTTTAGATTAAATCTAAATGGTCCTCCAAATCTGGAATTACTTTGTACCCACTATACCAGTGGCTAGCGTACTGGTTCTGCATTCTGTTTCTCAGTGAGTTATTCTTCTCACTTGGTGCTAACTTGGAATTAGTTCTTACAGTATTTCACTGGTTGCTGTGCTGCTTTCCTGCAAAATGTCAGAATTCCCAGGCTCTCTGTTTAACCAAATTGTGCCCAAGTATCAGAATCAAACAGAACTTCAGAAGGCTGACAACTGAACAGTCTCACAATTGTGTCCCTGAAGGAACAGAGGGCTTCAGCTTCTACACACCCAAGTGTTAACTTTCCACTGGATATGCCTTTTTTTCTCCCTTCAAATCACCATGTCATTATAAAGGGTTTTGTCCTCGCACACTCTCTGCAATGTAGTCAATCACTTGTTGCCTTACAGAAGATTGCTAAGTGTGTATGCAGTCTAAAGGAACTGGGAGCCTTTGCCTCCACAGGAGCTGCTGATGTTTCTTTTTTCTGGGTGGCATACACGCTCCTGTGTTTGGGAATTACTGCTTTGCACAGGAGCACTTGAACTCTTTATGCTGTCTAAGGTCGTGGCTCACAAAGCACTAGGCCTGCAGTGGAAACTACTGCTATACAGGCGAAGAGCTGAGCTTGTTCTGGGGCCAAAGTAAAATTACTGCAGAAGGAGGAATGTTGAGAATTCTCTTCTTCTGCTGCTTTTCTGAGCATTATCAGTAATTACTATCAGTAATTAATAAGACCCACGTATACAGTCATTATCCAAAGCCAAAGAATGGGCTTATGCTGAGAGCTCAAGGGACTTCTTAATTATTCCTGATGTCTCTTGATGAGATAAACTTACAAAGGAGACGGGAAATAACGTCTCACATGTGAGGTGACAGCTAGCAGTAGTGAGATCAGAGCAGCAGTATTACATCATGGAGACAGCATGCGTGGGTATGGTCTTACCAGGTGGATCTAACAGGGTGACTGTATACAGGACCTCACACATTCTCCAGCTCAGGTCTCTAGCACTTCTCTGACTGCTTCTCAGTTTGGTTTTGGGTTGGTTTTGGTTTTTTTAAGGAAAGATGAAGAAAACTAATAGAAATTAAATCCAGCTGCTAAAAACAGACTCTTCAGGGAAACCCAAAGTGTATCAGTATGAAGCGCTCCTTTTTTAGGATCTATTAGTTTGAGTAGCTGCTTAAAAACTAACTCTAAGTCTTCTTTTGCAATGGCATTAACACATCAGGAGTCATTACTGTGACAACACTGACAATGAACTGTTACCTTTACAACCATAGCTGCATAAGTCACATCAGCTCGCCAGAGTTGGGGAATGGACCATCCAACCATTGGATCTGCTTCATCATTGTATATGGCAACAGAAGAAAACCTTGGAAACAGCTTCTGAATTTGTTGAACTGCTTCTACTTCTTGTTGCAAGATGTAGAGAGAACTCCCACCTCCCTGCAACAATATTTCATATCTGCTTAGTGAAAGGGAGCTAACAGTAGTAAACAGACGTAACCTACAGACATAAACATATTCTGAAAACATGTTCTCCAGTTCAAGAGGAGCTGTGGACCAGACAATATTCGTATTTTTATCTCATCCACTATAGCATGTGCTGTTTGCGTGAGCTCCTCCTAGAATACAAAATCGAAAAGAAACAGAGGAGTCATTTCCCCGTGGGAATTAGGCAAAGGCAAATTTGTTTTGAGTGAAGTCTTGTAGCTGAATATCTTGAAAATTTTGTACGAACAGGTAGCCATGCTTCCTGCTATAGGCTGGACACTCACGTTCATCATCATCAGCTTCATAAATCAGAATAAAATGTAACTTTTATTTAACTGATTGAAAAATTTGCTTTAAACTGAAATCTTGTACTAACCTTCTTATGGAGAGAGATGTAGTCCAGCCTTACACCAGTCTCCCCTGTGAAGAAGTTGGTCCCATTGTAGCAATGACACAGAAGACTCCAGCATATGGGTGACTTGGGTAAGGGGTGGAATGAATCCCCAGGCCCTCCAAATTTCAGAAGAGGATTGGCTGCTCTTAATCCTTCTGAGCAAGCATCGTAGTAGTTGAGAAACCCTAAGGTCCAAGCAGAAGCATATATCAAAGATGACAAAACAGAAACTGGATCTAAAACTACAAAGAGATGTTACAACTCTATTATTTGATTTAGTGGCAAGACCTCAAAAACTGGGGCTATCCTTTCCTATGCGCTGACAACACGAGAAGATATCAAAACCCCAGCTGCATTCAAAAGGTTATTCCAAAGGTCTTGTATGGACAGGGTCCTAAACCACACAGCTGTCAATGGAGAGTTTTCCTCCACTCCACCCTTCAACCCTTATTCCCAATAACAGTACCTTCTATCCAACCAATGAACTGTGTCTTAGTGTAACTCCTGTTTCATTTTCCCTGTCCCACTATCCCCGTATGTATATTGATGTGCAGGCAGGGAATAAAGTGTAGTCAGTAACATGACCTTAGCAGACTAAGTGTAGGGGTACCTGTCACATTCCTTACCACTCCTGTCTACCTCACTTTTTTGCCAGTATATCTCCTATCTCACTGTTTGCCCTCCACTCACCCCACATACCTGTCTAACTTTACCATACTACTAAGTGCTCCAAACCATGCTTACCTTTCACTGTCATAGACACATTGTCAAAGTCATGGTGGTCTGGTTCATTCCATGTTTCAAAATTCCATTTAGCAACATGCTCCAATCCATACCTATCTGTAGGAGAGGTCTCATGTATCAGTGAATGGCATATTCAGACAATATGATCCAGACATTGATCCAGACAATCTTATCAATTAGGGCTGCAGGTGAGGTTCAGCACCCAGAACCACAACTACATAATTTCCTTCCTTATTAAAAATAATAATATTATTTAATATTATTTAATAATATTAAAAAAATATTTTCGTATTTAAAATATTGAAAATAACGAGGGAAATGTGATTTGGTAGTTTCGAAATGATCTCTCATTTTTGATGAAATGCAGCAATATTCAAAAAAGATGAAAGGTGAGAGGGAGGTGAATTCCAGCCCTGTGGCTAGGTTACTTGCCTACCCTTAACTCAGGTTAAGGTTTCTGTCTCATTAGAAATATTTGAAGTTGACATGCAAGAAGCATTCAGGTTATTCTGTCCTAGTGCAAGCTGTGTGCTTTACAATCACAGCAACATAACTAAGTTACAATCAGTCCTTAGAGGCAGGCCAAATATACTACCCAGAACACACCCTTAATTCTGAATGGATCAGCAAAAAAAGGGACTACTATTACATGGTCTGATCTGGCTTTTTTTTTTTTTTTCCAGTTCTGTGCTCAAATCCAGGGTCTTGAAATTGAACACAACACGGAGAGAACTTTTTGAAGTAGCCTGAAAGGATTACAACAGTATAAATAGCAGAGCTTTTTTTTTTTTTTTTTAACTTACCTATGTATCTGTTGGCCAGAATTGTAATTAAGTTTCTCCATCTTACTACCTGTTCTTTATCTTCAAAATCTAAAAAATATCTTGTTGGATTCCCCATCAGTTCAAATCCTAAAAAAGACATAAGGAATTGGGTCTCCTTTTTCTGTGAATGGTATCTCATTTTGGTCAATGAAGGGGCTATCACATTACCCAAAACAAACTTGTTAATGAAGCATCATTAAATGGTCTTTATTTCCTGTTTTTCCATGTTCCCACCAGAAATATTTTAGATTTGAGGTTGTTCACATTTGTTACTTGTCAACAACTATAGTAATCAATACTAATAATTCCCAGCATAAATGCAGGGCTCAGAGAAAACTTTAAACAGCAGATGTTTGCAGAAATCCATGGGAGGTTATACCTCAGGCATCTGATTCTCTGGCCCTTTTAGGTACACGTCAACAGGTACAAAGTTTTCTCCTCTTCAAGAGCTCTCATTTCCAAATTCATACATCTGAAACTGCCCTTTGAAAGCAATGTAAAACCATTTGTATTGTTTTAATTGCTTTGCTGACACTGTTTCCATTTGCATGGACAAGAGGCAAAGGAAAGTAGGCAAATAATGAATATTTATCAAAACTAGCTTCGGAAAAACTCTCTAATAATTTTCTAATAATTGTACAATGTGGGCAAAGATATACAGATAAACCAAGCTGTGAAGGCAGGGAGCTGCCCTTACCTGGAATTAGCTTGTTTTCCCACAGGAGATCCATAAGGTTGTCCAAGGCAGTAAAATTGTAGTAAAGTCTGCCATTCATCACTCTGAAGAATACAGGTAATAAAAATTACAAATGTAAATTACAGCACAGGTAGCAACTGGTAGTAGATAATGGGTCAGATGGCTTCCTTCTCAAAACTGATATGTAACCAGGGTTCTTGAAATTGTACACAAACTTCCTTCCTCTAAAGTCATGGGTGTTCACCATAAGTAAGCCTTGTTTCTTCACCAATCCATGCTCTTTTCCTATTCCAGCAGCAGCAACAGAAGCAATATAATGATCCTGCTTGCTGAATTTTGATTTTTTAACAAAATATTAAGATTTCTAACTCTTTGCTGAAATGAAATCTACCTAGTTTTTTTTTTTGCTAAGCTGTTTTTTCAGTTCCCATTAGATGACCTACTGCTAGGCCTTGATCACCTTCTGTCTCATACGCAGTCTTTCTTAATGTTCTCTTAATTTGCAAAATATAATATAGCTTTCTTAGTGGCATTTCTTACAGGTTTAGGTCCAGTTGAAAAATAACTTTGTATCTTTCAAAGAACGCTGAATTTATGCACACAATGTTTGTAATTTTTATTTCATTGTAAGCATTTGCTTAGTTATTCTCAGGCTGCAATCCTTTTATTCAGCTTTGAATAAGTTCATTCAAAGACGTGGGAGCAGCCCCATGACGAAACCCTTTGTGTCAGGGAATCTTCCAGGAGCACTGGTAGTAAAACTTGGACACTGGAATTCTTTTACCCAGCAGATGAAAACCGGCGTTTGCAATTTATCTGTGATACATTTGAAGATTTGCTTTAAATTCCCAAAAGGCTCTGTAAGCACCCTTGACATCAGTCCTGCCCTGGTCACACAGCAGCACTGAGCAGGGTCTTGGTAACATCTCTCTAAGCTGATTTCTCCAGCCATCTCAAAGCATTATACCTAATTTTTCTGGTATAGTGCAGCCTGACCATTTGTCCTGCAGTCTTGCCTGCTCTTTCCCAGGCACCTTGCCTCTGCTTGGGTGGAAAGCTGTACAAGTGAACTGCAGACACAATGCTTTAGGTAAGAGGGAATGGGGAGAGACAATCACCTACAGCTCTTAAAACTGATTAGGATGAGATATAAGAACGGGGCCATCAACAGAGCTCTTAAATCAATGCTGGGCTCTGTGCTGAGATTCATAAATTGTTTCTTTCTGTGCCTTCCCATGTTTCTAAGCCTTTTTGATTGAGGCTCTTCCTCTGCGCTTTCTTGCCAGAGAAAGGTTTTAGTAAAGAAACTGTAATGGTAACCACAAATGTCCAGAGAATTAAGAAGGGCTGACAGAATTGGATAGAGAATAAATAAAGTATCTGTGCAATCTGAAGAGAAAAAAATCTCCAGTCACGATCTAGAAGAGGAAAACAGGGCAGGTAAAATAAATGTAACATAAGCCATACCCACTGTACCAGCTCCATATATGCTGTATCAAAGCACACAGTCCTAGCCCCAGCAGGTCACACTCTTTTACCAAAGACCTAAAGCAGGCTTTTTTCTTTTAAAGTATAACAGAAATGGTCATGACAGAAATTATTATGTATGCAGCCACTGATGAGCTTACAGTACCTGCCCAAATGGTGCAGCTGTAAAAGAAGCAAATAGCAGAAAGCTATTTGCTTTAGTATCCTTAAAAGTATTTTAGAAATCACTGTTGAACTACAAAATGACCATCTGAAAATAGGCTTTTTTTGGCTTAGACAGATATTTTAAAAAAAGTCTTGACAGTCCTATTCCAAAGTTCAAAGACAAATATTTTCTTGCAAAATCTAGCTAAGCTCCCTCAGATCCATTAACTATTTCCAGTTGTACCCTGTGTTCTATTGAAATATTTGCTTACATGTACACTTACAGTCAGTGTGCACAACAATGATTAACTACGTGGTCTTGTAAAAACTTAATAACGCCATTTAGATAATAGCAAAAGTACTAGGGTCTTCCTGACTCCAGTACTGTGTGAAAATCTATGGATAAATAAAACTTTCCATCTGATATACGTACACTTAAGACCCCAGCACATCTACATTTTTCCTACTCTATCGATTAAGTAAAACATTTAAAACAGAATGCCACTGCCAACCATGACTGAAGTGATGGTACATGAGATCTTATGTACGTAAGTGTAGGACTTCTTATGTCCTTTGGCTGATCTGTCATTTTGTATGAATCTCTTCTGCCTTGCAAATGGACAAGACAGTATGCTCCCATTAATAAAACTGGACTGATAGGATTGACACTTCCTCAAATTTTGATCTTATCCTTACCCATACTACATTTCTGATGTGAGATGGATGGGTTTTTTATAACATATATAGTATTGCTAGAATTTCCCTGCCACACAGCGGCTGGAAGCCATGCTGACTGTTGCACTTGGGGCACAGCTTGGCTCAACTGTCAGGCTGTTACCAGAGGTGATCTAAAGACAATTTTAGAACACTGAAGACCAGATCAAAACTGTTAGAGGCATGTGACAAGGCAGATCCCTGACCCAGGGTAAATTCATTTGACGTTGCCATGCCATGTGACTGTCAGGGATGGTCTTGTGCAGGGCTAAGGGTTGGACTCAATGATCCCTGTGGGTCCCTTTCAACTCAGCATATTCTGTGATTCTGTAACCTGCTGGTGCACCATCGCATACCAAAGGGCCCTTGGTTGCAAGCTCACAGATTTTCAGAGTCTTTTTTTGCCTGCTCCTCTTCCAGCCTCTCTGTCCTTATGTTATGGTTTCTAGACATCACTGTCTTCATTTACAAACACGCAAAAGGCTATGTACCTGTAATTTCATTTGAGTGCTTGTCAGATTGGGATTGTTCATTGTTTGCTGTTGGGGTTTTTGGATGTGAAGCAGCAAACACTGTCCTGTCTGTGGCTGGCTTTCAACTGTTCCTTATTTGGGATTTTTCTGTGAGAGTTGACAGATGGGCCTTTTTCATCATCAGTCATTACAAACAACACTAAAGCACATTTATTGGCATCCTGGTACCAATGCTCTCATAAGCACCAGGTCTGAGGCTGCTAAACTCCAGATACTCCTGCCTGTTGGTGAGGTGTCTTCCCAGTCCTTGTCACAGTCTCAGTTCCAGACACATTTGTATGTGCTGCCTCTTGGGAACAACAATGATGGTGTGAATACGAAGAGCAGAGATGAGTACAGAGTGTTGTCCACTGGTTGTCACAAAATCTTTTTCTCTCTTCCTTGGAAAGGCTTGCTTTGTGGGCAATCCTTGCTGAATCAAAGGCTACAGGCCCAAGTTAACAGCTTTTCATTGCCTCCTATTACTGCAGTACGGTTTTGCCAGTATTTTCTTTTCAGAGGCATAGTTTGCTATGCCAAACTGTTCTAAGATAATCATGTTGTGTTTCTTACACATGCCACTTTCAACCTATTCTCATTCACAAACTTAATTTCTTGGGAGGGCAGGGGTAAGCTATCTTTAGCTGTCAACACCTTCCACGGCAGCCAGATCTGCTCCAGTTAGCACAGCTGTGGATATTACTCCTTAGCCTACAGCTATAACTCCCCCCCTGTACTCAGCATCTGCTGATTCTCTTTTACCCTGGATTCATCCTGTCCAGAGGTAGAGTTGCACGCCCTGGAAAACAAGTGCACACACAGACATTGAACCAAATATCTTATCTACAGAGAAGAGAGCAAGAAAAACACAGGAAGGGAGTGTTTCCATTCCAGGTGATCTTCAGTCAAGTACTGAATCTCTGACGTCAGATTAACTTTATATTACACCTTTATTATAATGTCCTGAACAAAATTTCCCGGGATTGAAGCCTGTGGTTGACCCCTGTCAGTAGATCACAGCCTGTTTAGGAACTGAAAGGTAACATGCAGGGTTACTCTCAACAGAGCTGTTCTGTTGAAGACAGCCTAGGATTGAAATGATCAGGAAAGACCTATATATTGCAGTAGTACCTTTCTCATCCTGACAATCTCACTCAGCTGGTGTGGTCTCCTTTTTGTATTTCTGGTGAACACAGTTACCATGCACATCAAAAGCTAACATAATCTAGCTTGCTTTCAACAGTGTTTGAGAACAGCTTCTCTTCTGGTAGACAGGCCATAGTGGCTGGCTAACACCACTCTCATGGCAACAGAGATTCCTTACATCCTCTTTTGGGAGCTTCTGCTTGGAAAGACTGATGGCCTAGTTGCAAATGTAGCCAAGAAATAGAGATAGAAAAACTGGCACAAGGTATTGGTAGGGGAGAGGTGCAACTGATACCTGCAGAGTAGGTAAAATTTTTCAGCAGGCTATCGGCCAAACCTCAGACTTGGAAGGTGGACTCCATGAGGGACCCACCTAAAAAAGTGGCTTAAAAAAGACCCTGCTCCACAGAAGGTTTTCTGTGTTACAGTCTTAGAGTAGTGAAAGTGCAGCCTAAGATACTACCCTGCTATGGTGTCTGAGATAGTGATCATATTACATACCACTATTCATTCAACAGAGATGCTCAGACCACCTTTGTCCGCCCCTGTAAGGGGGTTCCTGCAAACATACACTCTCTTGTCCATGGTGTCCAGGTCCAGGATGTGGACCAACGGTAACACAGTCACTGTTGTTCTGTTGAGTGTAAATATGCATGATAATTTAATTCCCCCTCTCAAGACTAAATGAAGTTCTTGCAGTAAGTGACTACTATTGGCAGCATCCCTGGACACAGTGTCCCAAGGATTTGCTTACCACCTTTCTAGAATCCAGAACAGGCACAAGTGCTCACCTAAGCTAGTGAGAAGCTCCAAAGCCAAGATGCCCACTGGAAACAAACAACAATAAACTTCCCAAATGTTCCTACAACAATAATTATGTATGTCAGTTCAAATTCTTGCTGCTCCTAAGTTCTCCAGAAGGAACCATCTTCAGAAGTACCCATCTCATTTTTTAGCCAGGAGAATAGGCTGTTGAATGGATAGGGAAGTACATCAGCATCTACAAGATGAAGGTCAAAACCTCTGGACAGAAAATGTCAGCAAGTTTATTTTTTCCAAGATGGCAACTTGTTGTCCTC